AGCCGGCCGACGAACTGCCGAAGCAAAAAATAAACAAAAAACGGGCCGACAACCTGCCGACCTGCCGCCCCCGCATAGCCAGAATGCCGCCTCTTCCTCGGCTGGTGCCTGGAGCCGGCCCTGGATCCAGGGGCCACCTGGAAGAGATTCTCTTCCAGATCCCAGAGTTCCCCGACCCAGAATCCCGGCCCTGAGAGCTGGACTCCCAGCCCCACAGACACCGAGCCCTGGCTGCCTGGTTCTTGGGGTCCTCATATGCCGTGTGTGGTCCCTGCCTCATTTAGTGCCTCTGGACCCACGAAGCACAGAGCGACTCACAGGTTAGTCTCTGGAGCCCGGCACCACAGAGCCTGAGCCCAACACAGGAAGGGAGTCAGACCTCCAGGAAGCAGTGAGGCATCTTTATCACCATTCTACATGGGAGGAAACTGAGGCACAGACAGATTCACTTTCCTTAGTGCACTCCCAGTGGCAGGGACTGTCTCTTCACTCTGTGTTTATGCAGTGCCTGGCACAGAGGGGCCCTGATAATGGTGGGGGCCCTACATGCTCCCCCGACACAAGGGATCCCACTCTATTGAGGTCAGCATATACAGAGGTCTCCACTAACTGTGGGTGTTTCGGTTTGTGGGCGCTTGGCCTGAGATCACTCAAGATTGAGGCCCCCCCCACAATGAAGGACACTTTTGGAAACTGCAACGTTCTCCCATCACACAGAGTCTGTGGTCACCCAGATCTCCTGGGTCCCAGCCCAGCGCCGTGTCCACCAAGCCACTGCTTCTCCTGCAGCCCTGCCTCATTCAGCCCCGGCCAGGGCACTACCTGGGGCGGGGCCTGGAGAACAGAGGGGATGGGATCACGGGATTAAATAGAAACTCACAGTTCCCACGCACAAGGGGGAACGTTAAAGTCGCCTCCCTGCCCCTAGTCTCCAGGTGCTGCTGCTCCCCCCTGGCTGGGGAACCCCCCAGTGACTCCGTCCCCGCTCCATGGCCGGGCGTCCCCTCTGCTGGGTCAGGGCTCAGGGCAGAGCCTGGCTCTGAGCATCCCATTGGCACCGAGCCCCCGTGAGGGTCTGGCTGGGGGTGGGGCTGGGAACGGGGACGCCGAACCGGGCTCCTCACCTCTCACCACGAGCTCCACAGGGTCGCTGGGGTACGACACGGCGAACGGCTCTGATCTGCTGTGATAGGAGCAGCTGTAGCTCCCGCCGTGCTCCCGGCTCACATTGCTGATGGGAAACACAGCCCCAAACCCGTCCGAATCCACAGGTGGGAAATGGCGTCGCTCTTTATTCAGCACGAACCGCACGCCCAGGCGCTGCCCC